TACCGATGGAGATATTCCAACACATCTGCTCTCCTGCACCTGGACTCATGGGCAATCATGCATGCCATACAAAAGTCAAATACTCCCTAATCTGATTTTGACTTCTACAGGTGTACAAAATCAAAATTCATTTATTTTAATTTATTAAAAGATATGGTGACAAACTAAAAACGATATAGTTCAGTTTTACTTAAAGCTGAACTATGTGTATGTGTGTGCCTTCAAATCACACACTATCCAGATTAGTTCCTGCAGTTTTCTTTCTTCTTTTTTGGGGAAGTGATTTGCCATTGCTTTCTTCCTAAGGCTAAGAAAGGGGAACTAGCTGACTTCATTCCTTAAAGTGGGATTAAAACTCATGGTTTCCTGGTTTCTAGCCTGGTATTTTAACCATTTGCACCAAACTGGCTCTCTAAAAATGTTTAAGGATTGCTCGTACAGTTATAGTATTATAAGCTAAGATTGGTAGAAGCAAATCCATCTTTGTCTACCTATATTTATGACAAAGCTAGACTTTTGGGATGGTCCTGCGTGCCTTGAAAATGTAAACAAGGATGAAGATTAGCCACACCCAAAATTTTATTTTGGTGTGGGTCATTAAATAACAGACTTTTCTCTCTCTCAACCCAAAATCAGATCATGACCCGATTTGGGAACTCCCAAATTACATTGCCAATTGTTTCTATGAAAGTCTGGCTAAGTACCTTACGAACTGATCAACAAACCACCAAAACACAAACATTCCTTGCACAAGAATATTTCAGGGAGACTCCTGTTCTAAAATTATATATTAATATTTGCAGCAAGTATTCACAACTTCCTGTTGCTTACTGACACTGGACTCCAGTTGTAAAAATGCCAAGATTAAATGGGGTTTTTTTTTGAGAGCCATTTCCTACCATGCTGTAGGATAATCTTCTCAAATCACATGGCCCTCCATATGTGTTACAGTTCTACTCCCATTGACCCTCAACTTTCATGACAACTGGATGATAGAAATGGTAGACTAATATATCTGAACTCCAAAGAGAATAAAATGCAGACAAATCTGCCTTTACTTCAAGAGAACATCCAGTCACACCTAAAGCTTGAAAGACTGACCCCTCTGGCTCTTTTTCATCTCTATGTCCAGCTTAGCCTCCAGGCTAAAGCAGGGGAAGACAGTGAACAAAGCCAGTCCACCAGCCTTGATAAAATTTCAACTTCTCTTTTGCTTTCTACCCTTAAGAACTCTGGGATTTCTCTTCATCTTCCCCATATCCCCTTTATGCTTCATCTTTTAGTTCATAAACCGAAGACAGGGATGCTTTTAATATGAATCAATCCAGGAAGCCTTTCTGCACAATAATCAAATAAAGCGTCTAATAAAATAGCCACTGCATGAATTAGTACCTGCATCTGATAGTTAATTGCCAGCCATAAAGATGTGTTAGATATTAAGGCACCAATGGATGTCCTTCCCACCCTACACCACATCATCGCAAGAGACAAAATGGTGGCTGTCGGGAAATCCCACTTACTTCATTTTATCATATTCTTGTGAGGTAGTGGTTATTCTTTCATCTCCAACATAAACTTCACAGAAAGGCCTGCAGCCGTTACGCTGCTTGCTGAAGAGAGGAACTGGAGTCATGATGATTGACTTTATGAGGATTGGCTTGCTGTGAGGAATAATGGGCTCATCTGCCATCATGTCACACATATATTCAATATATCTGGGAGCACACAAGAACATGGTCAACATATACAGTCAAACAAAGCTGCACGAGCCAAGTCAATGCAATACAGCTTCAAACATACATATCAGAGTAGTCAATCTCATCAATAAGTGTGCAACGGCATGTATTCTTTCTCCTACTATTATGCTGTACATAGTTAAACAGTATTGTAACTCAGAGATACTCTGAGAAGAATAAAGCCATCTTCTTTCAGTTCGTATAACCCCATAATTGGGAGACATGCTTGCTACAGACCAGCGTTTCTCAACCTTGGTAGCTTGAAGATGTGTAGATGATGTGTAGATTTCAACTCCCAGAATTCTCCAGCCGACATGGCTGGAAGGGAATTCTGGAATTCTGAAATTTGAAGTCCAGATGTCTTCAAGTTGCCAAGTTGAGAAACACTGCTATAGACCAATGGCTGAACCACAAGAGTGTTTTGCCTGTTTAGTTTAAGCGAGCATCATTAAGCTCATACTAAGAAACAAATGACTTTACAAAAAAAGATATTTTTTTCATTAATGTTTCATTTGTTATATGGCTTGGTCAGCCATAATAGATCATACTTACTTCCTATGCCCTAAAGAGAGGTCTAAATATGCAGCTGAGCAATGTTTGAGGAGCAAGTGGTTGTAATAAGGCTTATGGGGTTGTCATTAATCTCTGCAATTTTATTATTATATTCTCTCTTTTTGTACTCCGTCATATCTCTATGTTCGAATTTTTTATCAATTAAAAATATATCAGAAGCCTCAAAAAGAAATTAATTCAGAAATCTAAATATATTTAAAAATCATGAACTTTAAAAAGGCATAAACTTTATCAGCATAGCAAGGCAGCATTTGAATGATAGATGAGAAAAAGGAGCTCTCAATAGCTGAAAACAGGAAAAGAAATCAATGCTATCTTGTAGAATGAACAGATTCACACAATATACTATGCCTACTGTGGTTAAGCTTAGCATGCTACATGAGCCCAGACTAAAGTCAAATTGTGGTTAAGGAAAGATGTCTAAATTACAAGCTGCCATAACCAATTTATCAGGAATTAAATTTCCTTAACCATTGTTTTGTTTGTTGTATCAATCTGGGACTAACAGTTGTCAGTTAAGCCATTAGTCCTCCAGGACATGAGGTAAAAAGAGTGGTACAGCTGAGTCATTCCCATAATAACATTTTCACTGCTCCTGCTCTGTTACTAGGCCTCGTGACACACAGACACTATGTTTAAAACTCAAATGAGTTAGGGGATGTTAGCTTTCTTCCAGTCTGCATGTAACAGCCTTGACTTTATTGTGGCCATATTTTTATTTTTATTTTCAATTAAAACAAACACAATGTTAGAAAATGATGGGTGATGAAAAGATTGGTGGGATATTAAACTAAAAAGAAGGGGGGAATGAAAAACTCCAGTCAGGTCTGGCACGTATGCTGGATTTGCAGGAATGCTTTATTTGGAAAGTGACCTAAGCATTGTTTGATATTAACGCCAATATTACAATTATAAAAACATCTCACTATGGACTGTATGAAAAGGATAGAAGCCAGAGGAACCAAATGCCTTTGTAAGAATACACACTCTGCTGATCTGCTTACAACCCTTACCACTCTGCAAATTTTGCAAAAAAAAAAAAGAGAGTAAGATTTGTCTTTAAGGAAACAGGTTGATTCTGCAAACAACGTACCTCTTATGCGATGGCCAAATGCCGGGAGGACAACGTTTCATACTAAACATATAAACGGCAGCTTCAGCTGTGGTGAAGAGGCGACAGAAACATAGGAAAGAACAGACAACAACTGCCGATGCTGCTCTTCCGTCCTATGAAAAAACACAGCTCCATCAAAGAGGGAATTACTGAAAATCAAGCACAACCTGCATTAACTATTGGCAAGAAAATCTCCTCTCTTTTTGGTGAATTGCTCACCTATCTATATCCCACTCCTCTTCCCCCCCACCCCGTCAAACTGTTGCTGAATTGCACCTATTGCTGATCACTGACTGCAACAAAAGATTTGACTTGATTTAATATAGATGAGAAAAGCCCTATCAATCTCCTCGTCTGTAGATTGAGAAAATAAAGTCTGCAGTCTCAAGCTTACTTTCCAAACCCAGTACTAAAGCTAGGGTTGCCTTACAGAATTGCATTTATATATGAAAATCCAAATTAGACATAAGATTTAATATTATGGGGGAAGAACCTCCCCTCCGGAATGTATACTATAAATAGATGATTCCAAACCATTCAGACTCCTATTATAAAGGAGGTTCCTCAATCTGCTAATCATTTTGTTTGCCTGCTTCTGCTCATGTGTCTGCCATGTGGTATCATGAGCTCAAAATTCCTCTGCTAAGATATCAGTTCTGCAGTTTGGCAAGAATGATCCAGAAGCTGGAGAGAAAAGAATTGTCATACCAGGATACCACAGAGCGGATACTTTTGACTTCAGAACAACCCCCCATTTATTCATTCACTCATTCACTTACTTACTCACTTACTTATTTATAAACTTTATTGGCTGCCCATCTTACCCTAAAGGTAACTCTGGGCAGCTTACAGACATTAAAAATACATCTACATTAAAACCAGCCTTGCCTGGTAAAGCTACACGCGCTTCATCCCCACCAGTGCCTGAACTCCAGCAACCAAAAAAATAAATAAATATCATCCTTCCCCTTATTTTAAATATTTAGCATTGAATTAAAATCTTAGATTTCTGTCACGGTGTATAGATCTTCCCAATATATATTAGTTTATGGTTTTAGGATACTCTGCCCCCAAGCTATTCATGGTGAATTTTAAATGACTACAGATAGTCCTCAGCTTATGACCACAATTGAGCCTAACATTTTGGTTGCGAAATAAGACATTTATTAAGTGAATTTTGCCCCATTTTACGACCTCCCACAGTCGTTAAGTGAATCACTGCCGCTGTTAAGTTAATGGCACGTCTGTTAAGTGAATCTGGCTTCCCCATTTGACTTTTCTTGTCAGAAGGTGACAAAAGGAGATCACGTGATCCCTTACTTACAAGGCAATGCACAATGCAAACATTCTTTGGATCTTGCTTCAGCCACGAATGCATGTTCTTACAGATGCTGTAAAGGTTTTGAAGGTTTGGTGTACGCCTAGCCGGCCAACCACATTCAGATACCTGTTAAGGGAACACTTTGATTTATTAAATCTAATATACTGCCAACTATTATCACAATTTAAAAAAAAAAAAGCCAAGTCTTCAATTTAACCTATCCCACAGAAGTGATCAAGCCCTTTCTTTTCCTGGAAACAACGATGCTAAACTGGTGCCAACGGGTACCTGTTTTTCTCATAACAAATTGCGCATTGTGTCCCTTGTTCATCTTTTTGGAACCCTCTGAATGAAAGGTTTAAAGGAGGGGGGAAATAAAGAAGGGCGATATTGCAAGGATATTAATTGTGTCTGCAAAAGCACAGAAAGTCAGTCATTCTAGGTTCTTTAGCACATAGTTTTAAAAAACAGTAAGCTAGCTTTATCTAGTTCTCCTGAAACTTATTATTTTTTTAATATAATTAGCCTGCCATACTAAAAATTGGCTTTTTTGAAATCTCCTTTAGATTAATTGATTTGTTTACAGTGCTGCTCCTATTTTCAGACACTGGAACTGGTCACATTCTGAAGCTTCACAGATCGTTCATAGTAACAAGGCAGAAGCAGCATTACTGCAGGCAGAATACAACGTTGTCCAGTCCATTACAGGGCTGGTAGCCAATTGGAATTTGTAAACAGGATATGATGGCAATGCACTTCCTCTTATGGATTCCTGGAATATGATGGTTTGGGTTGTGTAAAATCATATCTGAAACGTTTACTTCCAGAAAACCTCCAGATCACCTCCAGAAGAGTCAGATCAGCATGGTCTGAGGAGGAACAGACTTCTTGAGTGTTCTTTGGAAGGTTTTGTCTCTGAAAGGGAATGTTTTGCATATCCCTAATTCAGAGACTGCTTTCTGGGAACCTGGAAAAACTCTACAAGGGCATCGCATTTTCTAGCAGCAAGTTTCAATGTTATAAGAGCTTGACCAACAATGGGGGCAACTCACAGCTTATGTGTGATTCCTCCTCTCCACCCCAAGGCTTTGAGGCAGCCCACAGAGCTTCGTTTGTCCCTAAAATTTAGCAGCCTAGAATGGCACTGAAATAGCTTGGAAGCGATGGCAGTTCAGAATTAAGATGCATATATAAAATGATATGCACTTAGAACTTATGCATAAGTTAAACAAAACCAAACCCATTAATATTTGGAAACAGATTTGCTAATGTTTTTGAATGGTCTTTCTCTTCATTTCAAATTATTAAAGCTGGCAGAATACAAACACACACAAATTCTTTCAACAGGTTATTTCTTTCTTAAGAAATGCTACTAGCAGAGGCAAGGGTATATGTGAGAGTATGTGTTATTTTGTCTGTAAATAATTTCATATCCTGCTCAATAGATCTTCTGGAAACATCTAGCAGGAACTACCACATCCACTCTCCTTCCTGTCTATTTATATATTTAGTTTATGAAATATTCCTTTCTTCTTTTGATTCCTCCCCCTTCCATTTTACTGGCAATCTCTTCTTCTCTTTGAAGAAGAAGATTGAATGAAGCCTTCAGGCTAAAAAAAAAAAAAGAGTTTGAGCTTTGATGATGGTTGGATGTCTGCTTGAAAACTTTTCTTTGACACTATAGACCAGGGGTGTCAAACTGCCGGCCTGCAGGCCAGATGCGTCATGCCGAAACCGCGCCCACCCCATTGCCAGCAATGGGAAAAAAATCACGATACGTTGCGACACGTCATTTGACGTTGGGAGTTCGACACCCCTGCTGTAGACGCTCCCTTACTATTTTCATACCAAGATAAGGAAGATGTACCATGAGATGGGCAATACTGCCATGCACCAAACATGATGGAGGAAAGTAATACTACTTTACAAACCCTATTGTGAAATCTGGAGGGCCGATACGATCTTGGAGACAGATTGTAGACAGCATAGCGTCCAGGATGTTTTGAGTCCAAGAACAGCCGCACATCTTCTATATTATTTTTTATAGCAGACTCAACACCTTCTGCTGGAAATGACATCACTAGAGAACGAAGGGAGAAAGTAAAAAGAAACAGTCAGGGCTGAACTCAATATATTTAATCTGCTCTTAAAAGAAAACCATGTTTAATAAAAAAAAAATTAATCATACCAGCAATTCTGGATGTAATGTATGATAGATCCAAATCCCCTTTTGCGTAACTGAAATATATATTAAAAAGAACTCAAGTTAAAAGTTAGAATGTGTGTCGGTTCAATAGATTATTGTTTTCAAGTGGCTTATCAGATTCTACTAGCTTTTTGTTCATCAAACAAGACCACCACCTGTTCTCCCTATCCCCAAGAGATGGTCACAAATGTGATTCTCAAATATCTGAACTATGGGAGATAGACTAAAGAGTCTAGAATAACACTGGTTAATACATATTGTAAATGGCAGGTTAAATGCCTGAACCATTATTAAAGGATTCTCAGCTTTCGAGAAAAAACAATTATCTCAAACCTGAAGGATTATGACCATTGCCTTAGATAATAGGTTTTATAAAATTAACTTTTTTCAAGCAGGGGGCGGGGAGAATATTCTCTTTGGAAGAAATCTGCATCTGTCCAGCTATTGGTAACTACAAGTATATCTGTATTCCTACAGCATGCCCAGTGGTGAGGTATGCTGGGAATCATAGTTTGGTAACATCTGGAGGGGCACAGGTTTCCTCTTCCTAGATCAGTGATGGCGAACCTTTTAGAGATCGAGTGCCCAAAACCGCCCTGCCCCCAGCCTGCCCCCGCTCTGCCTGCCCACCCCCACCCTGCTCCATCCTCACCCTGCCCATTCTCAGGGCCATCCACGGCCCGCCGCAGATCACCCAGGCAGCCCTGTAGCGCCATGGTGGCCACGCCCTCTGCCCATGCCCCGCAGCATCATCTGCTGCCCAGCTGCCCTGTGTTTGGCTGCGCTGTTCTGCCCAGGCCGCACCCGGGAGTGACTCTCCTCCAGGGGGGCTGCTGATGAGGAGGGGGCTGCGGGGGGAGGCGGGGCTGGGGCGACGGCATATGTGCCCACAGAGAGAGCTCCGAGTGCCGCCTCTGGCACTCGTGCCATAGGTTCGCCACCACTGTCCTAGATTATATCAATGCTCCGCGAAATTAATAGGCTCTTTTGTTATTACATCAACTCCTTCAAGATACAAGTTGCAATCCTCCACTCTCTTTTGTACTGTACACAAATGACACTAAATGGCTACAGAGGGAAGAAGGAGGAACAGGAGGCAGAAGTAGAATAGTACGGTAGTTCTCAACTTACAACCTTTCATTTAGTGACTGTTTGAAGTTACAATGGCACTGAAAAAAAGTGACTTATGACTGTTTTTCACACTTATAACCACTGCAGTATCCCAATAGCCATGTGATCAAAATTGGGGTGCTTGGCAACTGGCATGTATTAAGACGGTCGCAGCATCCCGGGGGCCATGTGATCCCCTTTTGTGACCTTCTGACAAGCAAAGTTAATGGGGAAGCCAGATTCACTTAACAACCGTGTTACTAACTTGGCTGCAGCAATTCACTTAACAACTGTGGCAATAAAGGTCATAAAATTGGTTAAAACTCACCTAACTGTCTCGCTTAGCAATGGAAATTTTGGGCTCAATTGTGGTCATAAGTTGAGAACTACCTGTAGTGAACGTATTAGGCCATAAAATACACAGATTAGCTTTAATGAAGTGGTCTACAAAATAATGATCAATTATGCAGTGTGACATAATGGTGAATCAATTTCAAACAGTGAACTAATATTATGCAGAAAGAAAGTTAATTTAAGTCGGCAGAGATTGTTTTAAGACTCCTTAGAGGATGGCATTTTTAGAGTTGAAAAACAGATTTAGTAAGCTAGAGAAGTTAAACAAAACACCCACATCCACACACAAAAGTGACAAAATCCTTTAACCAGCTATTTGAAGTCTACCTTCCACATTTATGCTCAGGATTTCTCTCTTCCTTTAATCAATTATTAACTATTATTCCTTAATCAACTATCAACTGAGACTTGATCTCCCTTGCCAATTTGCTTCACAGCAAAGCTATGAATTGAGCAAAATTCTTCCTGAACGATGGCCCGGACTACATAGGTGAAGGATAGAGGGAATGACTGGAAATTATGGGCACTGCAATTGAAACTATTAGGAAGGAGCCGGTAGGCTGGCCTAGGCCTACAGCATCTTAATTAGTACATTTTGAGATGCTAATAATCTCAATAATTGACCAATTTTGGCAGGCCGCCTAACAAATCACATTTGTCCAAGTCAGTGGATTCTTAGTTTGGTCTAAGTAGAACTATGTGCAAAATCGGGCAAGAACCCAGCAAGCCCTTGGGGTATCAATTGCCCTTCTCTATCCTACGTAACAAAGATATGGTAACTTAAATAGGAATTTTGATATTTATACAGAAGCTTAAATTTTTCATGGGGCCTGGATACCAGAGCCAGAGTTTTATATAGAGATCCATTTTTATCTATTCTTTAGTGTTTGCAACAACTTTTTTTTCTCCATTTTGTGGAGATCTGAACATGTAACAATCCACATGGAGATCATTACATAGTGTGTGCACATTTCAATTTAGTTGTTGCAATACGTTTACCGGAATTATGCCTTTCAGAAAATGATTTTAGTTTGAATAGGTTAATTCAATTTAACATGGTTCACAGAGGTTATTTTATCTGGCTACACACACCCCTAAAAATATAGCCCCATTCTTTCAAGTCCTAAAAATAACACAGAAATCAAGGATTTCAGTGGCAATACTTCACAGTAATCTGCTTCCTACTATATGTGTCCCTACTGGAGGAGAAAAAAGCAGCCAGGAATACAAGATATGGCAATTTAGTGGGCTAATGAAAAAAAAAGAAACTCTAAAGTTATACATGTACCAAGAATATGATACTAAATATAAATGTAACTGAGAACATAATGACAATGTCTTAATTCATAAGGTTACAGGTCTACATGCATGCATGTGCTAAAACAATGAGCAGAGATCACAAGGCACAGGTAAAACCTGAGAGTTCAGAAAACTTTTTGGAGTTTCATAATGGCTGCTAGCATGCACAGACAGTACAAATACTAATGTAATGAAGAAATATTTACCTTGGGCTGCTAAGGAACATGAGTATGGAATGACGAAAAGCAATGGGGAAAAATGGGTAAGGAAAGAAGCATCACACACAAAATCCAAAAGTAAAATAAAACAAAGCAGAAGTCACCCAAAAAGCCAAAGTAAAGATGGGGGAAAAAATTGAACTTTCCAAATCAATTTTTGCTTTTGTTTTTCCTAGCCCCAAATACTTTAGCCCACATTAAATTGGATGGATACCATTATGAATAACAAGAACCATCGATGTGGGTGAGAGCCAATACTGACAACCCTTCCCAAACTTAGTTGACTATTTTCACAAATATTGTTTATGCCAGACGGATGCACTTGTGTTTCCGTGATATATTCCGAGAGATACAGTAATTTTTCATTTGTTTATTTGTAATTTCTACCAATTAAAATGTTGCTTATTTCCAGCTAAGAATGCTTGGGTCAAGTTATAAATGTTCACAAGATACAAAAAAACTACTCCAATCCAATAATTTATGTTATCTCTCATTATATACCACAGCCTTCTTTGGCCTGAAGCTTTCAAGTTATATTAAGAGTACTACTTATGGATTTTCTAGCCAGCAAATGTTCCAAAACATCTGATCATTACCTAAGAAATCAAATTATTTTCAGAGAAGCCCATTTAGGGATTCAAAATATAAGTTAATATATAATATGCAAGTGGACAGACTTTTCTATAATAGAACATTAAGAAAGCACAGACCACTAATTCTGCTGGATATAGAGAGATAATATATGACTCTCTGGATCTTGAATAAACATAAAAGATACCCTATAAGAGTGAAAATAACATCATTGTGTTAGGATACCCATGCACATGTATTCTCATGGGAGCAATAAAGAAACTAACATGATCACTGTGTCCACTTTAGTAAAATCCTTGATTGTGTTTTCTAGTTTTTTTTGTAAAAATTAATTTCACTATATTGGAGTGAAATTAGGTTGTCAATATTGAAGGATCAATCGCTTTTGAGTTCTTGCACCATCAAATCTTATCCTGTGACTCAAACCATGAAGCACCAACTAAAATACAGTATTGGTAGTAAACGTAAGATTTTTTTTTTCTAAAGTGGGAGGTCAAAAGTTTTTCCCACTGTCGCTACCCAAATGCCAATAATGTAAAAGCTCAGAAGCCACGAGATATCAACCCATGAAATATGACAAGGTATCTCCTGAGGTCCTTCACCTTGCCCAGGAAAGACCCCGCTTGAAAGAAACGATTCCAGTCCATCCCAATGAGAATTCCCTCTGACAGTATATAGCTGCTAGCATTCAAGGACTGAGTGACTAACAAAAAGGTAAACCTAAACCTAAGTGAGCTATTTGAAATCTCAGTGACACTGAACCCATTGTCTTAGTTCAATGCCAGCAACAGAATGACATCATGGAACAGTATGTGGGTTAAATGATTTATGATTGGTTAGCCTAATCTGATGTCATAATCCCTCCAGAATACTAGACCTGAACCTCCCTATAAATCAGTTTCATTTACTGCTAGCTAAATACTTAACAGTCTCATAAACTTTTCATCAAGTTAGGCTGCTGAACAGCAGAGGAAGAAGTATGTTCTTTTTCCAGTCTAACTGGTTATTTCTTCCTTGCATAAAATGCATGAAGACTTTGAATTATGTGAAAACTGTTCTATGGATTAACACTGAGATGGAGGACTGTGCCTCTTTTTCCCACTGATCTCTTCAATAGAGTAGTTATCCTTCAAAGGTACCAGTCACATACTGGACTACCTAAGATTAAAAAAAAAAGTCCATAAAGCTCTCTGATCCTATGATGGGTACTTACTTTAACCTTCAGGGTAACCAAATAAGTTATTTTATTTCATTCCAAGTTTGCAGTACATTGAAAGTAAAAACCAGATGAAGATCGATAAAACTGGAAAAACTGTTATAGATTTCTTTGCTGCTATCCAAAGAACAGAAGTTCCCATCCTTTTCTTTTAAGCAGATCATTACACTATCATCAAGACCTTCTTCAGAGCCTATATAAACAAACCTTTTCTCTTGAGCAATGAAGTAATAACCATTGCTCTCTGCCCTTCAAATGTGCAAAGAGGAATTGATTCATGCTGAAGTCACACCAGGCAACAATATTTCAATACACAGAATGCAGCATAGTACAACGGGTATTTGTGAAGCAATTATAACTTCAAATAACAACAGCAACAACACTGAATATTACAGAAAAGATGGCACTCAAGATTTGTTATTAGAATATCATCTTCCCTCACTGAATTATCTGCAGGGGCATCAATGATCTGGAGATCACGGAAACTTTGGTCTAAACTCTAAAACTTGACTCCCAATGTGACAGAGTGCCATCTACTGTATAGTTTGTCCAGCATTTTGTCCAGTTCCTTGCCCTATTTTTAAAAAAATATTCTTGCAGTTTAGAAAAAAAAAAACGAATGGGGAAAATAGCATGTAGCAAAGCCAATCACTATAAACATAACCTACAGTTCCTTTGATCAAATTTAGAAAATAAAATAGCGAGTATTTGCAATCCCGAGATTTGTTTATGTTCTGTCATATAAGGGGTTTCTGTGATCGGCCAGATTTAGCATGACAACCATTACAGGGGTTCAAATTCTCAAATGTGCCCAATTCACCTGCCCCCGCCCCCTTGAAAATCCTGGTGTAGAGCAGATACAAAACTGTATGTAAACAAAAAAAAAAAAATCCTTCTCTGCTTTAGGAAAAAATAGACGAATACAACCACAGATTCAATTAATTCCATTTCACTCGTACACCAGATATTGTATTCAAAAATTACTGTCATAAAACAAAAGCAAAAAAACAGGGCTTCTCATGTTAGTAAGGCAGCTTAATCCTGCAGGCCTTAAAAAAATGGAAATCCATCTCATTACTCCTCATCCCATTTTGGCATTTTTTGAAAACAAACATCACATGGGTCACTCTGAACTCTCTGTTCCCATGCCCACGCTTCTTCTCAGACAATAACTGAAAGAAAAAAATGAAATGATCGACACAACCTCAGATGATTTAGAAACTATGAGTTGCTAAGGCGACACAGAACGGAGCAAGCCTTGAATGGTTACTACTGTCTTATCTAACATGTGAGCTAGATTCAAAACTAGATTAGAGGCGAAGCATAGCTTCAGTGAATAAATAAATGAGTGTTTGGGACCATTAATGGTGTTATTTTGAGCCTTACAGTGTGATTCTATAGCTTTAGTGGCTGGGAAATGATTCTAACTGAAAAGCCAGCTAGCTTGACAGCCCTGTTTTTAGAAATTCTCAGCTATGATTCCTCATATTCCTGCCATCTTGAACACACCATTGGTGATGTAATTTGCAATGCAGTATCCACAAGGGAATAATTTGACTGGGATTCTAGTTGTTTTTCATGTGTAAATTAGGTGCGCTAGTTTAAAGTCTAAGCATTAAGGATAATTCCAAAATGACAGTATAACATGCAGTAAAAACAACTGAAACACTAGAAATCATTTTAAAAAAGCATTCCACTATAATTGGAAATAAGTAATATAATATACAAGAAAAGGTGTTTTATTTTTTTTTTAGATTATGAAATTTAGGGACAGTAACCTGACCGTGCTAAGATTTTGTTGCCAAAATATTGGCATTTTTAACAAATCTTTTCCTCAATTTAAAACAGGGGTGTAAAACTGCCGGCCCGCAGGACGGACGCGTCACAAGGAAACCGCGTCCACCCCATTGCCGGCAATGGGGAAAAAGTTCCGATTAGTGACATCGTGAGTATGACATGTCTGATCTAAAACTTATCAATTTTGGGGGATTGGATTTAGGCTTATTTTCTTGTTTTTTAAAAAAACTGTTCAAAGGAAATGCCTCAGTTGAAATATTCACAATGGCAATTCTGCTTCAAGATCTAACATTTCTGGGTTTTCCTAGCAATAATTTAAAGCTACCACTTTCTTTCAGTAGCCTACTGCCGAACTAGTGGCAGAGCAATACAGAATGTTACAGTGGCTGATAGGTACAGTGGCTACCTATCCTTTATTATAAAGGGTGGGTCTCTATTTCAGAAAGTTGCCCTTAAAGATTTATTTAATTATTTATTTTCTTGCTTTTGCTCTTGAAATTTTCTATGTAAAGCCAAGTTACAAACACAAACTTTTTTTTTAATCCTTATGACCCTTTTTCAGATTTGTCTCTTTTTCGGGTTTGTCCTTCACTTAAGCCAGTTTGGTCTAGTGAGGGGTCCCCAACCCCCGGGCCGTGGACCAGTACCAGGCCACAGCATGCCAGCAACCAGTCCGCATAAACAAGCAAAGCCTCATCTGTGGGATGCTGGCAGCACACAAAACGACGCACCCTCCAGTCTGTGGAAAAACCTCTCTCCACGGAACCAGTCCCTGGTGCCCATAAGGTTGGGGACCTCTGGTCTAGTGGTTAAGGCACTAGGCTAGAAAGCAGGAGACCATAAGTTCAAATCTTGTCTTAACCATGAAAGCCAGCTGGGTGACCTTGGCCAGTTGTTCTCTCTCAGCCCAACCCACCTCACAGGGTTGCTGTTGTGTAGAAAATAAGAGGAAGGTAAGTTGAATATGTTCACTGCCTAAAATAATGTAAAAATAATACAGGAAGGATATAAATAAATATTTAAAAAAAAAAAATCAAGAAACTATGGTCACTGTATTAATGGGCAAACCATATATATGTATATACACATATATACAGGATGTCCAAAAAGTCAGGGCCCCATAGACCAATTACAAAATATTTTATTAATTAATTCTTTTTCAGAGAAAATGTTACTGTACTTAGGAATGTTCAAAGATCGTCTGTCAAATGAGTAAAAAGTACTTATAAGCAAATTTGCAAAAAATTTGAACACTGAATGTAATCTATACAATAAATTATCTATCGGACTTGAGTTTAGTGGCATACTGTACTTTAAAATGTATTGTCTTGGTATTGGACCACAAATAAATAAAAGTAAACAAATAAAATTAGTTTGCATATGAGACCTGACTCTTAGAACTTTACTATATTATTATTTTTTCTTTAGTGAATAAGGGTCATTCTGGCTGTATGATTTCTCAGAATTGGAATTCCATTTTTCCCCAATATCAATATTTCTGATACTTAATCTGATTAAGAAACAATTCTAGTCTCACAATCAGGCATGCTTATAAGTACTTTTTACTCATTTGACAGGCGATCTTTGAACATTCCTAGGTAGAGTAACATTTTCTCTGAAAAAGAATTAATTAATAAAATATATTGTATTACATCTCTGTTCAGATCAAAGATTTGTCATTTGATCTTAGTAGAATTCCTAGTCTTCCTGTCCACAAGACTGTAAATGGGTTGTAACTTATAAAGTAAAAACTCCAAAAAGAAAATAATGGTACCACATAAAATGCCCTTTGCACTGAGAACTGTAATACAGTGAATGGAAATATCAATACAGCCACATTTCTACTTACTTGGCTACAGACTGAATAACTTTTGAAGATGTATCCTTGATATTCGTGAAAAATCTTTCAGTCCCACCTCGAAGGATATCAAAGAACCCACTAGAAGACTGGTCACATTCTGCCACTATCAGCCCTAAAAGCCAAAAAATACAGTATTATAACCTAAAGCAGGCAATCACCATTATTCTTTCCTCTAAACAGACTTACATTTCCATTAGAAATGGCATTAAATTGTATTTCCATTTAAAAACAAATTCAGCAGAGCACTTTAGCTGCTGTCTTTATTTATGTTATTACCCCAGTCTGTGTCTTTTAATTAAAGCAATATTTTTCTACACAAAGAAGAGCAGCCAACTACAGTAATTCAACAAAAAAGCAGTGAATGGTCCCTCTTCTAAGACAGTCCCCGCATTCTGAAGCAGAGTCATGCAAACCTATTAGCTGCAATAAATAGACTCCAGTGCCAATACTGGTGCTCTAGTTAACTAATCTGTGTATCAGTCATCTGATCCAATGAAGTGACTATAAGTCACAAATTCACACATACAATTCTTGGTCTCTAAGATGCCCTGTTGTTTATGTATGCATATCATCTGTTCTGTACAAAGAGTGTAAAGACATAGAAGAATAAACTCCTAATCAATGGTAACACTATGTAAAATGTGGCCAGATATTACTAGTATAATTAATATATTCCTAATTATAATTATATTGTAATTATTCTGAAGGTCTATTAGGGCGGGGGCCCCCAATCCCAGGTCGCAGACAGGCACTGGTCCATGGGGCGCCAGAAACCGGAGTCTGAAGATCCGTGAAGCCCCATCTGTATATGTGCGGGATGCAGGCGGTGCACAAAACCACGTGCCCTCCAGTCTGTGGAAAAACCTCTCTCCACAGAACTGGTCCCTGGCACCCAAAAGGTTGGGGGCTACTGCATTAGGGCACAAATACATAGAAACAAGTCTAAAGTTCCTATATTTTGCTTACAAGTCAGGAAACATGCAATTCAGGGCTTTTCTTTCCTTTTTAATACAGTTTGTGTTCTAGGAATCAACGTTTCTCAAATTCATACTGTCAACAAATATTCAAAAACTTACATATGATTTTTACCTCTTCTTCAGAGAAGGATGAAGGAATCAGACTGGATTTTCTACATCAGACAGAATCATTTTCCCCCCTTTTACTCCAACATTCCAAGCTACTGTGGTTTGTTATGATTCCATGATTTACTTCAAGCCTGGAAGTTTGTTATATTTATATCTCACTTTCCTTCAGAAACTCCTTCCTTTTTAATCTTGGGAGGAGTTCGGGGTGTGAGAAAGCAGCCGGCCCAAAATTACCCAGTCAACATCCATGGCTGAGAATAAATTATGAAATGGGTCTCCTAATCTAACAACTTAACTGTAAATATGACGTTATCAATATGAAAAGGTAAGGAATTCATGAGTCTATTCAAAGCTTGATTACTATTATTTCTTACCAGGACTTCTGAATTTGGGGAAACTTTTTTAAAGTCTAAACTTAAAAGTTTAGTAGCAATGTTAAAATAAATAAGAATTGAGACTGTCAAATACTGTAAGAAAGGCTACATAAGAAAGATGCCAGAAATGTTAAAAGAAACAGTAAGAATTGGACAGTACACGAAGAAAATTCCATTAAACATCATACCTGCATTATATATATTGTTAAGCTGACCAGCAGGTTTTGAGTTCTGTGGCACCAATGCTGAAGATGGCTTAGGCTGAGCATAATTCCCATAGCCCCCATTTTGTTCAAGAAGCTGGAAAAAAAGCATCATAGCATGAGTGAACATAAATAAACTCCCACTCCTCCCCACCCACAGCCCATCTGCACTAAAAAGGTAATATTGAGTTCCTTTAAATACGTTTTGTTGATTGTAAAAATAGAATACAAGGATCACTGCAAATTTTCATTTTAATATAAAGCTCTAAATAAAGCATCCAAGAGGCAATAATCTAATCTATATGAAAAAACACTAAGCCAAATTATTAAAAATGGAGGACTGGCTTATATAGTCTGCTCTATTATCACCATCAACTTTCTTTTCTCCCTCACCTTTGGAATTTTAGCCTGGAGGAGCAGAAAGAGAACAGAATGAAAGGATAATTTGGGGAGGAATTATGCAATTCCCATTCCCAAAAGCTAATCATAATATTTCTCTTTTCCTCAGTTCCCCAAAGCCCTCTAAAATGACATCATCGATACTCAACATTTTGCAATCCTTCCAATAATGCCCAAAGCTGGCCACTGTTTCTGTCCCATCCAAGGACAAGGTCGTGTTATTCCCTTGCTCCTTTTCCTGCAGAGGATAGGGGGTTTTTTTTATAAAAAAAAAGGGGGGGGGTGCTGCCCAGTTTAAAAACATGGCTGCTGCCGCCACCATAGACTTTTACAAAAGCTAAACATCCTTAAGTTAAATTCCTGATGACTTCATCGACACATGCACGACATTTTCCTGGCAGAAATAAAAGAGTGGTTTGATAATGCTTTCTTCCTAATCTCACCTACATTTCTGGGGTCCCTGGGATTCTACCATCTGACTATTAACCAAGTCCAGATCTACCCCGGGGTTTTAGTTCAGTAAAGACAGGCTAAGTGTTGCCACATAGCTGAGAACTGGTTTCACCAAACTGGATCTATTATTACCTCTGTGATAGGGGACTTTGGATTCACATTTCTAGCAGCTGCAATCTCCTGCAGCTGATTGACAAGCTCAGTAATGGACAGCCTCTCTTCTGGATTCACCCTCAAAGAAGAACCTAAAAACAATGCAAGGAAAAGATCGGTGTATGTTAAACGTTTGCCAACAGGACCTATGATCATTTCTACGATGTAACTCTGAAATGCCAGCAGTAGGAAGTAGCTAAAATGAAGCCACACATTTAAATTATACTAAAAAAATAAAAAAGACCATCTTTTTGCATGTACCAGTTTTCTTCCTGAATTAAGAATAGGCCAGCTCTTCCTAGTCCCATGGTGGCGAACCTGTGGCACGTGTGCCACAGGTGGCACGCAGAGCCCTCTCTGTGGGCACGCGCGCCATCGCCCCAGTCCTAGGCCTTCAGCTGGGTTTTATAAAACCTTTTCACTTTAGGCCTCCGCCGCCGTGTGCAAAAAAAAAAAAAGGCTCAATCAATCAATCAATTTCAACTTCTTGCGGGGAAAAAAAAAGATCTCGCAAAGTTAGAATTGATTGATTGAACTTTTTAGTCCCACCCAGTCTGCCGTTACCACCGCAGCCATGCCCACCCAATGGGCCACGCCCATCCAACTGGCCACATCCACCCAATGGGCCATGCCCACCCGGCACCCGATGATACATAAGTGGCTTTTGGGTTGCAGTTTGGGCACTCGGTCTCTAAAAGGTTCGCCATCACTGTCCTAGTCTATCCTCTTCAAATGGGTTGTACTTGTAATGGCTCCCATTACTGCTCTCTAGCATGGACACTGAGAAGCAGGAATGATGAATAAATGTGTGTCCAACACTTTGTCAAGTAGCAGGTTGAAATAGCGGATGTAGAGAAGCTTTTCACAATCACTTGTAGGTATAGAATCCTAGTGCATTTGTGAGCTTAAAAGGAAACCATAAAATTCTCTGCAAAATCATCAGCTCCCCTGCTTTTCGTGCCGCCTCTCCAGGTGTTTGGTGCCATCGTCTGAAACTTACGTATAAGATCATGAAACACAGTATATTTTGTGTCGTTCTGTGGGATGGAGTATTTTCCATTGACTATTCGAAGCTTCGCTCCATCTTCAAATGGGTGTTGCATAAAGCACAACAAGTAGAGGACGCAACCCAAGGCCTGCATGGAAATAACAAAGGGTTTACAAAAAGAAAACGAACAAGACTAAATCATTCAAGGCTTAGCCCAGGGGTCTTCAAACTTGGCCCTTTTATGACTTGTGGACTTCAACTCCCAGAATTCCTCAGCCAGCCATGCCTGGCTGAGGAATTCTGGGAGTTGAAGTCCACAAATCATAAAAGGGCCAAGTTTGAAGACCCCTGGCTTAGCCAATCCAGTTGTAACAATGACTATCCTTCCTTTTAAGTTGTTATCGTTTCAGATTTTGAGCTGATTTGACAGACAATTCAGCATCTGATAAGAGATTTGAATGCTTCATCAACAAGCATGATTATCCAACAGGTGCCTAAAAATAGGATACGGCTTTCTAAAAGGTTGCTATGTTTTGGAGTCTTTTGAAAGACTTAAGTCAATTAATGGGACAGTTGTGTTTTACAGGCAATTGTTAAAGCCTACAGAGGAAATGGACTATCAAAGGAGCCAAAGCATAGAAGGGCCCTTCTTTTTATCCTCCGCTTCTTGTGTTTTCAGATTTTTCAGACACCTTTCTTCGTGGCCTCGGATCATCAAAAAGAAGTTATTGTGGTAGCTGTGAGAGGAACTTTATAATGTGAGGTAGTCTTTTTGTGTATAGTTATGTGATACGGTTGAATAAGGTTTTGCTTCTAGAATCTTTTCATGGAATACATATATTCTCTTCTATCAGAATATTTTCAGCTGACCCTAAGAAAAAAACTTGTCACCCTTAGATTCACCCTTGCATTTTTCTTTTCTTCAGAATTTCACGTTGGTGCTTCCTAAGGAGCTTTTAATTAAGAGAGATATACTTGAAATTGAAATATACTTGAAATATACTCAATTGTCTAGTTTAATGAAAAGAAGGACTAGGGGTGACATGATAGCAGTGTTCCAATATCTAAGGGGTTGCCAGAAAAAGAGGGAGTCAATCTATTCTCCAAAGCACCTGAAGGCAGGACAAGAAGCAAAAGGTGGAAACTAATCAAGGAGAGAAACAACCTAGAACTAAGGAGAAATTTCCTGACAGTTAGAACAATTAATCAGTGGAACAACTTGCTTCCAGAAGTTGTGAATGCTCCAACACTGGAGGTTTTTAAGAAGAGACTGGACAACCATTTGTCTGAAATGGTGTAGGGCAGTGGTGGCAAACCTATGGCACAAGTGCCAGAGGCACTTGGAGCCCTCTCTGTGGGCACACATGCCATTGCCCCAGTCTTGCCTCTGCCCGTGACCCCCTCCTCACCAGTAGCCTCCCTGGAGGAGAGTCGCCCCTGAGCATGGCCCACGCGGAGCAGTATAGCCAAGGACATGGCAGCCAGGCAGCGTAGACAGGACTCTGCCCTCACGCCCCAACGCGCACAGTTGATGCTGCGGGGCGTGGGCAGAGGGCGTGACCGCCATAGTGCTGCTGGGCTGCCTGGGCGATCTGCGGTGGGCCCTGGAGGCAGTGAGTGGCCCTGCGAGCAGGCAGGGTGAGGCAGAGTGGGAGTGGGGCAGGGGCGGGGCCAGTTTTGGGGCACTCGGTCTCTAAAAGGTTCGCCATCACTTGTGTAGGGTGTCCTGCCTGAGCAGGAAGGAAGACCACCGAGGCTTCTTCCAACTCTGTTATTCTGAAAGAGAGCCACTGGGTCTGATCCCACAATGACCTATATGGGGTTTCATTGATTGTTGTAATAATCACAAATCAGTTCTAGAAAAATTAGAAAGCAGAAGCAAACACGAGTTGGCATGGCCCATTCTACTGAGTTAGAACTGTGGGTGCTCCCTTCCATTCAATTACCTTTAAAAGCAATGCTGTTTTCCTTTTCCTTCTCCCTCCCTATCTCTTTTTCCTTCTGTGTCACATCATTTAGAGTTTAAGCTCCAGGTAGAAAATGTCCTGTTTCCGATCTGTGCAAAACCTTAGGAAAGGTTAAGCAGCTTCATTGAGGATGAGCACTAAGACCGCAGAATAAGTCTTATAGGAACAGAATTGAGAGGTCTGCTTGGAATATTGCTATTTCTAAGGGTATTTTACTGCCTCCCTATTTTCCTGAGGTTTTACCCAAGTTACTTTCATCACACCATTAGGCGCTTTTTTTTTTTTGAGATGCCAATTTTAGATTTTGCAGCTCTTTATTTCAGTTTTAACATCTGCGCTGAATGGTGTCAATACATTGTAACAGATTAGTATCCGCTACCTGGTGGACTCTATCAGAGAATGGAAGAAGGAGACCTTCTCTAAATAAATGAGAAAGCCTAATCAATAGGGACAAATCACTATCCCCAAAATCTACCTATGCAGAAAGAAAATGCATACCCATATATCTTGCTTTTCATCAATTGGAAAGTTTGAATACAAATCTATAATTTCAGGAGTTCTATACATTGGCGTCGTGTTCCTTGTGACCTGTACACACAAAATAAGAGATTTATAATTAATCCACAAATATACTTTTTTTCATCAAAGTCACTTACCGGTAGTTGTTGAACTTCGGCCTTATGCTGTTTTACACTCAGTCTTTTCATAAGTTATCCTAGCTTTTACAGCAAGCAGATCCATTTGCAAGACCAAAGAGTTTACTTGCATAACAATAGTGAAATTCTTTAGTTAGTTACACTCAATTATTTTATTTATTTGTCTAATTTATCTAGCCATCCATCTCACAAAACAAGCAATTTTCCTGTAGTCTTTGGAGAAAAGTTATTTAGTCGGCAGTAGTCAAGTCTTTTGAGAAAGAGCTATAATTCTCTGGTATAGCAGATACTCTGGACAAAAAAGATCACAATTAAACTAGAGGTACATCTTGGTGCTCTTGATCTCTCCAGCTAAGTTAAATGTGTTTAGCTTTTGTCCTGACCCAGGGCAAACTTTTTAGCCACACAGTCTTCAGCTGAAAAAGGATTATGTAACTCTCCCTGTAGACAATAGAGAGCTACTGCATCAAAGTGGATATGTGACTCTCCACAAACTGCTCAGCTAAAGAATCAAAGAAGAGATGATGGGTATTGCAGGGAAATAGAAGTTCCATACACACTACTATATTTTTGAGCAGTTTTTTACAAGTATGCAGAATACACTCTAACGATAAGGAAAAAAGAGATTCAGCCCTATCCAAACCTCTTTGATTTTCCCCTCTGCATCTCCTGTTCCTAACCTCAATTTCCTGTTCCTTTTCTACCAGTCTTTGCCAAAAACAGACAAACTCTTTGAAAAGCTGTTCTCAGAAGCAGAACTGTACAAGAGAGAACAACAGATGCAGCTTGGCTGGGAATACATTTTGAAAACCCAGCATGGGAGTTTTGGCACAGAGTTTATTCAAATGGAATATATCCATCTTTTTTTTTGCTAGGCAAGCATTAATGAAACAAAAAAAGCACAGTATTTAATAGCATGGCCAGAGAGTAGAAATTCAAATAATGCCATACTCGGTAGCAACTGAAGCCAAGCCACCTAAATGCTGGAAACTCTTTGAAAAGACCAATGAATATAACCAGCAAAAATAAGATTCTTATATAAATGATACGCAACTAACCTTTTTAGCTCAGAATTATTTTCAATATAATAATGTTTTCAAATGAGGAGCTCGATGGCTCAGGGGTTGATGACGTTGAGCTTGTCAGCTGGAAAGCTGACAGCCCGGGTTCAAGACCTGAACGCCATGCAAGGGGTGAGCGCCCACCTGGTTTGAAAGCATGCAAATGCGAGTAGATAAATAAGTAGCCCTTCGGTGGGAAGGTAACAGCGTTCTATGTGCTTCAGCATATAGCCATGTTCGCCACGTGACCACAGAAATGTCTTTAGACAACACTGTCTCCCTTGGCTAAGAAACGGAGATGAGCACTGGACACGACTAGATAGGGGAAACTTTTATCTTTACCTTGAATGTTTTCAAAAAGGAACGCGACATGCTGAAAATAAAATATAGTGCTGCGTGTCTTACCTCATCTTCAACAGTTGCCCGTCTTTGTGCAGACCAGCTATAGTCAGGGTAATGTGTCACAACTGTTGCACTACCAAAATCACACAATTTAATTGTTCCTTGATTACTTATCAGCATATTTTCAATCTGCAGAGACAAGTTATACATATTTACGTTAAAAAGGCCTCTACTTATGCATATCTGTGCTCACATCATCAAGGTTCACATCACCAAGATTATCAAAGCTCTCATTAAACTAAACATTTTTCTAAGGTTCAATAGCTTGCTTTGAAATTCAAATATTCTATCTTAAGTTCGTGTTTCTGCATAAGCACCATGCTCTAAGGAACATTTGGGAAGTTACTGACAAGATAATTTTAAATGCTTTAGCAATGAGACTCAAGACCTGACACCTTTTCAGCCACATGTATATGCTCTTCATCCTCCATGCAACATAAAGAACAACATAGTTCTATGATTCTCTTTAATGTTCATGTCAATTTAATAACATAATCACTAAACAATTCCATTATGTTTTAACCTGACGTCAATCCACAGTTAAATTCCTAAAAAACGACTTACACCATTGTGAAACACTTTAAGCACTGATTTCTACCTAGTCACTACCCAATCAAGGGGGAAAAGTAAACCCAGGTCTGACTTCAATCCTGGCCAACCGTATATAAAGGTAACGAACAAGATATACTGGTAACTGTTTTCCAGGCAGGCTTTCCAGCCTGATTCTGCTGATGTGCTAGGATAACTTCCAGAAAGTGGTCATACTGTCTGGGAATCTGGGAACTAGAAGGTACCAGAAGGACAAATGAGATCACCTGTCCTTGGTAGTATAATTATTTATATTGCAATTTAAATCTCTTGGAACTCCACAACCTCTACAAAAAATGGTGGCATTTACTATCTGTAGCCAGCTCCTCCATGCCTCTTCTGCTCTGTTTTTTTCCTTAGTGAACTGTACACATATGACCAAATCTCAAGATGTTTCCATTTCTTAGTTCTGAGATACGGATATACAGTTATGTCTCCCTTTTTAAAAAATTTAAATATCAGCTCTTTCAAAGGTTCTCATGAAAAGATGTCCACATTTGGGGAAACTCTTAGCAAAACATGAACTTAGCCTAATCTCCTCTAACTTATTCTCAGACAACCCAACCTAGAGTTTTTACTCTTCTATAGGTAGTCTTCGACTTATAAGTTCATTTAGTGACTGTTCAAGTTTTACAATGGCACTAAAAAAAGTGACTTATGACCATTTTTCACAGTTACGACCTTTGCAGCTTTCCCATGATCATGTGATCGAAATTCAGATGCTTGGCAACTGGCTCGTACTTATCACCGTTGCTGTGCCCCAAGGTCACAAGATCATCTTTTGCACCCTTCTGACAAGCAAAGTCAATGGGGAAGCCAGATTCACTTAACAACCGGGTTACTAATTTACCAACTGCAGTGATTCACTTAACAACTGTGGCAAGAAAGATCATAAAATGGAGCAACACTCACTTAACAAATATCTCACTTAATAAAAGAACCTTTGGGGTCAATTGTGATCATACGTCAAGGACTAAGGACTACCTGTACAACACTTTTCTGGCTACTACAGGCAAATTCAAGCTCATCCTGACTGATGGTATCCTTGCTTCAATCTCATAAGGAGTAAAGAAAACTTGGATTCCTTACCTTTAAATCTCTATGAATAACAGGAGGCTTCTGCTTGTGCATATGTTGCACAGCACGGCAAGTCTGATAAAATATCTTCAAAACCGTATCACACGAGAGGGGGCCTTTAGATTCCACTTTCTTTAAAAATTCCACCAGCTGCCCTATGAACATAAAATCCATGGATCACACACATTATGGAAGAGGTACCAGGGATGCTAATTTTGATGACAGCCAACAGAAGCCCATAAATACCCCCTGATCCCTTTACTTTCTTGGTATATGCCAGGGGTAGGCAACCTTGGCTCTTTTATGACTCGTGGACTTCAATTCCCAGAATTCCTGAGCCAGCCATGCTGGCTCAGGAATTCTGGGAGTTGAAGTCCACGAGTCATAAAAGAGCCAAGGTTGCCTACCCCTGGTATATGCTAACATAAGAGTTGAAGCTCAGGTGGTTCATTCTGCGATTGTGTGACGAGCACAGCGCACAGCGCGGATGCCAAGTAAACACATTGTATGCTGCTGCACACATCATTAGAAAGGGAGGAGAAAAATGTGAGTAACACTACAGCTGTGCTCTTGAGATTTTGCTGGAGAGAGATACGGCTCCCGTAATGTATCCTCAGCTACATGCTTCTTTTCTTCAGTATACTCTATCATCATTTTGTACAATATTAAGACGGCAAACAAGGACTGAAGTAGACTCCAATCATTACTCAGCCTTTGGAAAGGTTTGGTGCTGTGAGGTTTGGTTAGTAGTGAAGGTGCCGGCCTAGTATCTAGGAGACACTGAGTTCTAGTTTTACCTTAGGCATGAAACCTTGGTGGATGACTTTGGGCCAGTCACTCTCTCTGTCTTAGCCCTACTTATCTCACAGGATTGTTGTGGGGGAAATAGGAGAAAGAAGGAGTATTAGGTATGTTTGCCACTTTGACTTACTTATAAAGTAAAAAAAGGCAGGATAAAAAATCTAATAAACAAAGGGGAAACAGGGAAGACCAAATACTGAACATTTTTTGGCTCAGTACCTATTTGTTCTTTTGGCTAGAAAAAACGACAGGTTTTGAAATGCAGAACATTTCTAAAAGTTTTTCTTTTTTTTAATTTGTACCCAGAACTTTAAAAAAAAAAGCTATTTTAATTTTGCATGTGTTTCATGTCTGGCACTAGTATAAAGGGAAGGAGGAGGAGATAAACTTATTCTTCAATCTTAATCGGACCAAATAATTAGTCAGAAAATTTTAATCTGCAGTGAAAACATTAATTGAGAGTCCTAAAGTGGGAAAGAGTCACTTAGTCGTTCCTCTGCTACACTTAAAATAATGTTCTTCTCCATTCTGTTTCTAAAATATTGCTTGAAACAGGAAGGTCAGAAATGAAAACGGAGGAGTTAAGTTTCAAATTTCGGATAAGGAAGACTATACGTCTTGCTCAAAGTGCAGAGCAGCCCTGCCACCCTTTGCTGATACTAAATGCTTTTGTTCTAAGAAACGAGAGCCAGCCAGGCTGAGTCAGTGAACTAGGCTGTCAATCCAAGGTGATTCCACAAAAATTGCAACTTTACCTTTACAAAGTTCCGTGAGCAGAAGAAATTCTCCTTGCCCAGTATCCGATTCTTCTTTTCCAATGGAGGCAGCAGAACAGAACTGGACAATGTTTGGGTGTCCAGATAGTTTTTTCTGAATAGTTTTTTCTGTTAAAGTTTCAAAGTTTCTTCTTTATTGGGAAAACCTCTTTGCAAGCCCTGCAGCAGAACTACAGTTTACTCAGTTGGACTATAATTCCAATTCTGAACGAGAGACCCTGGTCAAAAACATGTGCCGACCCAGCCCAGGATATTGAAAACACAATGAATTCCACATTCCACCACTATTGGCAAACTTTGGCAATTGGGCTTGTTGCCTGCCCTGCTGTGTCAAGCATGGCTTATATTGAGCTTATCCAGTTAACATTAGGATCAGATTTTAACGGTCAGCTGAACACAACCACATTCTATGCATAATTTAAAGCAGGAGAGAGAAAAGGACAAAGGAAAGCATTTCTGATGTAACAATATTATTAAGACCCTGGATTAATATGGCAAAAGAAAGCTAAAGTGTTTCAAACAAGGATAATTCACACAGATTAGGAGGCATGTAGAGCTAATATGCTCTCTGAAACAACTACAACTTCAAACAAATTTGCTCTTTCCTATATTTAATCAAAAATATCCCATTTAGATCATCCGATCTCTCCTTTGCTATGCATGCCTCCTCTGCTTCTCCTTTCACATCAACAGCAGAACAATCTGGAACACAACAGTTAACTGATATTTAAGCCACAGGTAAAGTCAGGTTTCAAATGCTGAGTCGTTTGGAAGATGTTCAGATAGTTTCTAGTTTAAATATAAAATGAAAGTTTTGCTCTGATGAAGGAGCAAAGAAACCTCTTTTGTATCCTTACTTATTAAACCAGGATTTGATAGTCCAAGCATAATATGATTTCACCTGTCTCTAAAAGGATACCATGAAGCAGACTTCTTGAATGATAGCTTTGTTCTTTTCCTCTTCATTGGACAATAATCTCTGCCAGGAAAATAAAGAGATCACAAAAAAGAATATTTTGATTTCTTTCTTTTTTTTTGTATGTTTGTTTTGTTTCCAAACAATAGTAATTATACTCTTCTCTCTCTTATAATTATATAAAAAAACAAGCTATCAGGTCACACAAAGGTTGTAGGCAAATCAAGGATCAATTCCAAAGATCACCTTTCCAATGAGACACACAACCTTCCTGCAGAGGCTAGTTTGAGACATTCTGGAGGCAAGTGCCATTCGCACGATCTCTCAGGAGGGCGTGATTTTCCAAATCATGTGGCTTGGAAAACTGTACACTTCTGAGAGACGACATGAAAGCCATTTCCGGAATGGCACAAGGCAGCCTATGTAAAAGAATGCGTGTCACATCAGCCGGGTGCTCTTTCAGAAACGTGATCTTTGGAAATCGCCTTTCAAAAAGAAAATCAACCAATGTGCTGCATGGCCTTCTCGTAGAGCCTCATGCCATCCTGGAAGCAGGTGACCCAAGGATTGCTGCAGCTTCCAGAATGGCACTCGCTTCCAGAGTGGCTCAAGGTGGCTTCTGTATAAGAAGGCCACATGGTGCATTGGCTGATTCTCTTTAGGAAGTAGGATCTTCAGAAGAGGTAAATGGAGCAAGGTGTGATGGGACAGAGGAGGAGAATTAAGGATGTGGTACTCAGCAGAGCAAGAAGTAGGCCCAAGGCCTTTGAGTACCCGGCTAGGTGGGAAGTAGGTCCAAAGCACCCAGCAAGGTGGGATGGGAAGGAAAAATAGGTAGGTAGGGGCAGCTGCAGCTGGTCATGAGGGCAGGTGGATTACAAAGCACTTGAATTGTGATCACATGGTCACAGGGGTGCTGCAGCAGTTGTAAGTTTGAGTACAAATCATAAGTCCATTGTTCAGCACCATGGTAATTTTGAATGAGCCCTGAACAATTGGTCATAAATCAAAGACTAACTATAATCATATACAGCTAACAGTCGCTTGTGAATGAGTTTGTGTCTGTGTGTACATATGTACACTCATATATTGAGTACTTTAAAACATTTCATTCATAAACATTAAACAGGGTATGTTACTTTAAGCTAGGAAGCCACACTACGATTGAGCTGTTTTTTGCTACGTCGAAAGTATTCATTCCTGTTTTCTCCTGCTCAAACCAATAATTGAGAGCTTAGTTTTGCTACAGAGAACACATACGTTCTTGCTTTTCTCTCCTGCTCAAACCAATAATTGAGAGCTTAGTTTTGCTTAGTATTCTTGCTTTCCTCTCCTACTCAAACCAGAGTTTAGTTTGACATTTGGTTCCAAAATTAGAACAGAAGAATGGAATATTTATTGTTTTAAGTCTTACAATAGCACCTCTGACCCTATGCTGTCATATTATCAAATATCATTTACACTGTTCACTGTTCATCACAGTCAATAGTTTGCAAATTATAAAAGTGTTATTTTAACAACAGTTATAAATAATTTTGGGATCTTCTAAATCAAAAGGCAATGCCATCAGGACTCACTTAGAAGATTTTTATACTTATTTGCAAAATCATGCTGTATTAAATGGAAAACCACAATGATTTTGTGTAAAACTGGCATCTGAGAGAAAAATATCCCACAGGCATGGAAAGAAGGAAGTGCTTTCATTTATTCAGCAATCATCTGCATTTTTTTAAAGTTACGGAGAAAGTATTTGCTTGAACTAGTGAGTTAATGAGTAAGGCTGGAGAAAGATCTAGAAGTTTGGGAATTAATAACTAAAAATCTTTTTCATTTCCTCTTGTCTTTAGAATTAGTCTGTCAAGACTATTATGTGGTACTTGTATCATCCTCAACACTTTATGTATCTAAAACTCTTTTAGGACAAGTATTACAAAAAACAAGGAAGAGCAAGATAACCAAGCATAAGAGTAGATATATGTTAATTGGTCAATGGATGGGTTCATTTCCTCCTTAGGATTAATGTTCCAATGAAAAATGGAAGTACAACTTTTCTGGACTTTATGCAGCATTGTGAAAATTCACACACAATAACACTGATTTTCTTATCACTGTAAGTGTGGTGCTTGAAGCAAAGCTTCAAAATATGGACATGGAAATTAACAATGGGCATTCCTCAGTGTATAATTTTATATGATCCAGAAGTGGTAAAAGTACTGGATGAAGAGAGGTAGACCCAATCTCTCCCAGCCCTAATTACTTTCCAGTTTGCTGCAGAAATGAATTGACAGCCATTCTCACTGTATGCCATCTTAGACAGGCAATAATAACAATAACAAATATTTCCCTTGAAATGCTATGGATCATTCTTGCTCTCCTGATCACTTTACGGGGATTGCTTTCACTTCAGATAGGTAATTGGAGACATTCCAGGAAAAGTGAACATCAAGAATAGGAGAGGAGGAATCCTCAAATGTTTCCAAACATATATACAGAAGCTTTTTACACAGAGATGGTATTGACGGATAGTGTTAGTAAATTGGGAGCCAGATGATTATTAGCTAAATATTATGTGAATAGTCTCCTCCAATCTATACATCCTTCCCAATATGTTAAGTCACATACTTGTTGGAATTCCAGAAGTTATATTTCCAAAGCATATGAAAGGCATCAGATTGGGGGAGATAGCTGCACAGTAATACTAATTGAAAGCAACTCTGCTAAAATTATAGTCAAAGAGATTATCAAGTACACATTCTTAGAATTTGGGAGCAAAGCCACAAATTTTATGTTTACTAATAAGTAGTCAACTCTGGAACTGATTTGTTCTTAATTGCTGTACAGTACTTGCTATTCACAGTGTCACCATCAATGAAGTCAAGAATAAAAAAAGAGGCAAGGATTAAAATCCCCCAAAATAAGGATAAATACCTTTAAAGCATAATCCTTCCCACTGCCAAGATCCTGAGCTTCATAAACAAAAGCAAAGCCACCTAAAAAGAAAATGAGATGATTAAAAACTGTCAGGACCAAGCTCCAGAGATGACATGGTGAAATCCACTCAAATCCAGATCCTTATTTGGTTACACCAATAGACAGAATCTTGCCAGGCTAAAAAGACAACCATCTAACCCCTGGGGTCTTCAAACTTAACCCTTTTATGACTTGTGGACTTCAACTCCCAGAATTCCTCAGCCAGGCACGCTGGCTGAGGAATTCTGGGAGTTGAAGTCCACAAGTCATAAAAGGGCTAAGTTTGAAGACTCCTGATCTAAGCTAATACAGGAGTTATAGTTTAAGGTGTGACTACTTTGAAACTGTTCTTCCCCTGTACCTTCCAGTTCAGGACTATACAGTCTCTTATCTTGGACCCTCTCTGGAATAGTCTGCTTCTCCCCTGGAAAGCCGCAGGGCAGTGACATTACCCCCCAACTTCTCCTTTAACTGCACACTTCATCACCTTAGACATTAGCTAACATAGAATACTAAAGCTGAAGCAATACAGGAATAGAGAATTCCTTATCTACAAAAATGCACTTTCTGTGCTTCCAAGATTGCTTTAGTGCCATTAAATAAGAATTTTAGATTATACTTTTATCTCTACAACAAGTGAGATTATTTTGGATAAGAAAAAAAAAGGTTTATATAATCCTTTACAACAGGGGAACCTGAAGCCCTATGAGGCTCTGAAGGTCTTGGGTATGATTCTCAAGAGCACAAAATACCTACCTAATTAATTCTTACCCAAATCGTTTTGGGGGGCAAAGCTCCCAGCAAGCCAATCATAGATCTAAACATGGCCTTTGGCCTTTCCAAACTCCTCTACAGCCTGTGCTCAGTTGAGAGAGAAGACTGGAGGAGCTTCCAAATTACTTTGGATAAGACAACAGCCAAACAAGCTTGACAGATCACCTATGAAAAAGGTGAAACATATTCCCTGATACATGGAAACAAATTAAGCATAGTGTCACTGAGGAAAGGTAGACATTCTTCTGTAAATAATAACCAAGCAGAATCATATTATGCACCATAGCTTAAAATCTTTTTTTTTAAAGGTACCGGTATAGCAAACCAGCCTCTTTGTGGCCTTTGAGTTTCCCAGAAAGAGAGGAGCAACTTTATTGAAGGGTTTATTATTGTATGGACTGATGAGATTTATATACTGCCAGCATGGCTGTAGTGGTTAAGGGAATGGACTAGGAATAGGGACAGCCAGGTTCAAATCCATTGTCAGCGAATGAAGCTTATTTGGGTGACTCGGGGCCATCATTCTTGCTCATATGCTTCCTAGGATGATTGTGATGGGGAAAAAACATGAGGAAGAAGCCCTGTATATGTAAATTAAGATACTGAATGAAAGGGAGAGTATAAATTTAACAAGTAAATACTACCATAATCACCAAGGAGTTCCAGCAGTCAACATAAAATAAAACAAAATATACTGTACAACAGGGGTCCCCAACCCCCTCTCCATGGACCGGCACTGGATCACGGCATGCCAGAAACCAGGCCACGCAAACAAGTGGAGCTCCATTTGCGGGATGCAGGCAGCATGAGAAACCGTGTCCCTTCTGGTCTGTGGAAAAACCTCTCTCCAAGGAACCAGTCCCTGGTGCCCAAAAGATTAGGGGCCACTGCTGTACAACACACAACAATGACCCAACCTGTAAAACACTGTACCAAATAACCGCTGACAAAACAATCCAACAAGCTTCCTCCTTCTGTTATATATTCAAGATGGACAGTATTTAATATTTATTTGTTATGTATATGTAGGGGTGTGGGTCTATGCATATGTTGTACATAGTATGTTTAGATGTGTGTCATGTATGTGTTTCACTTTGAGAGCGGGCAACTAAATTTCATTTTTGATGTGTGCTGTTGTGCCCACAGTAAAAAAAATGACAATAAAGGTTATCTTATATTATCTTATATTATATTATCTTAATCCAAACATTCTCCAGTGTTCTCCAGAAAAGGGTTAAGAGGCCAATTGAAAGGTTTAAAGCAACTTACATTGACCACATGGCTGCTGACCGCAAATCCTCAACATGCTGTGCAAACCTAGGGCAGTCCTTATGCTGAAAGTCTTTTCACCCTCTTGTTTTGAAATATGGATGACTAACCAGTTTGTTTTCTAGCACCAACAGCTAATGTTTGAGGTCTTCTTAGAAGTTCAAGAAGACTAACCCTGGCTCTCCCAATCTTATTCAATGACCTACTAGCCATTCTCTGGATGTTGAGAGCATATGCACCATTGTGCGTATAGAATGGCGTGCTATATTCACAATAAGGGCTCCATGCAGTAGGAACATTATTTTGTGCCTACAGCTAAATACATCGCTTGCTACTGATTTGGCAAAACAACCAGCTCTCAACTGCAATTCCTTAAAAGAGACACCCCAGGCATAACCAACAGAGGCTATGATTTGAGAAACATATATATGTTCATGAACAAGGTTGACAAGATCTGCAGGGCCGTTTGTTATTACAGGCGTATACTTTGTGCGCTCAGAAACTATTCAGGTTGTTTAATGGTTGGATGAGAAATAAATTGCTCTCTGTAAAAGACTGCTTCTTGTTTAATAGGAAACCCTACGGCATTGAGTCATAGGCATGAGTAGTTCCTTTGCAAGCTTGCGTGCTAGTCCTCATTACACTGTGCTTCATCTGAAAAACTGCTGCCTTGCTCCTCTACTTTCCATGTATGCACTGCCTATTGCATAAATTAAAACAAATTCAAAATTTTACTGATTCTCTGCTTTTCAGCTGCCTGCATATAGTTTTTGGATAGTTCAGTAGGTTCTAAGGTAGAGCTTAAAGAAGCTTACTCAAGGCTGGAAAACTGGAAATTGGAAACACTCCATATTTGGGGAAGGGGACAAGTGGCAAGTTAGGGCAGCCCAGCTGAAATCAACTTACCTACTTTTCTTCCTTTCTCTATCAAAGTTTCTTTTAACATACATTAACATACTATTTTCTTGCCTTTATGCCTTGTATTATTTATTCATTGCTTAATGTTGTGTTATCCAATCATCTGGGCGTAAACAGCTTCAAGTAAAAGCAGGGGTACAAGCAAAGAGCAAAAGGCAGTAGCACGAATGCATATGTCAGATAGGAGGTGTGTGTGAGAGAGATTTATTTATATTTCATATTTCTAAACTGCCCATCTCCCTCAAAGAGGGGCTTGTATTTTTAACGCTTTTCTATGTTGAAATGCTCTCCCAGTTATTGGGAACTCATGTATGGAACAAGCTTTTGCTTCCATTCTATGTATTGGTCTTCTTCCCAATACGAAAGATTTGTAAGAGAGAATTCACAGTAACACAATAAAAAATGATCCACTCCATGATCTCACTTTGAGGCTGCATATGCAGCCATGCTTCTATGGCCCAAGTAGCAATTCACAAATGATAACTAAAAGGGCAAGAACAGGCAGCCATCTGAAAGATTTAATATGGATAACAGGACCTGACATGAAGCAAAATAAGACAGGATTTGAGGTACAATTGTGTAATTGCCCAAAAGCTAAAATTAAAAAGTTTCAATGACATATGAAATGGGAGGAACAAGTTAAGAATATATGATAAAGTGGATTTAAAATGTTGGTTATAATATACTGACGGATCAATGATACAATATACGGTTAAAAGGGCTGAAATTTACATTGTGTTACAATCTAAACGAGACTGTTTATAAAATGATGTATCTTTGGTACAAGACACCAGAGAAATCACCTAGAATATATAAAGGCATTTCAAGTGTATGTTGGAAATGTAAACAATATGAAGGGACATTTTATCATGCTTGGCGGCCATGTAAAACAGCTAAATAATTTTGGATCACCTCGCACTGCACTCATGTCAGAAGCATCGAGGTGCTTCAGGACTGAAAGAATTAGCTGGTGACAGCACTGTTGCTCAGGGGAAGGCTCAGTTAGGGGCTCTTTTCACGTCCCCAGGAGGAGCTAGAGCAGGGGTAGGCAACCTTGGCTCTTTTATGACTCGTGGACTTCAACTCCCAGAATTCCTGAGCCAGCCAAGCTGGCTGGCTCAGGAATTCTGGGAGTTGAAGTCCACAAATCATAAAAGAGCCAAGGTTGCCTACCCCTGAGCTAAAGCAAAGGACGGGAGCTCACCCCGCCCCACGGTAGCACTTGGGTCTTGTCAACTCAGCATCCTAACCATGTGAGCCACCCTGCTCCCTGATAATTTTGGATTAAAACACATACTCTGATACAGAGGATTTTAAAGATCATTATTCAACTGAAGCCATAACTTTTATTTTTAGGAATAATAGATAAATAGTTAGTAAAAAGCCATGGAAGGTTACTTCAATATATGATTACTATGGTCGGATTACTGCAAACAAAGAGATGGAAAGATATGACACTACCCACTATGAAGGAATGAAGTTGACAGATTTTGCTGAAATGGATACACCGGCATCTTTGATTAGAGAAAAGACATTATCTAAATTTAGAGGTGACTGGAAAGCTCTTACGGACTTTTTGTATAATAAAAGGAAAAAAGTGAACTTATAATTTATGGCTCTGATTAGACTATCGAAAGAATAATATGATCTAAGAGAGATAGGTTAAAATATATTTGTACTTATAACTACTATGAAGAATATAGGAAGCCATTTCTTTAGATCTTTTTTCTTTCTTTTCTGGTTTTTTTTTTCAACATTTTAAATGCACTTTCTGCTTTTTCTTTGATTTCTTTTTCATTTTTCTGTTTTACCTCATATTAGTTTGTATTAGTTTTCATCTTGTTCAAAAGTTTCAATAAAGATCATAGTAAAAACAGAACAGGCCAAACCATCTGCTTGCAAATTAGCGGATCAATTGTTCCGCCTTTCCTAAAGAGAATTCATATATTCAAGGCAATGCCTGAATTTATCCTACTACACCTTCCTTCAAAGACCCAAGCAGCCAATTCAGCTTAGCATCTTTTTTTTTAATAGCACAGAATATTTTGAACGCAAGCAA